GGTACAAAAACAGAATCATGATTGAAAACTGCGTTTTTTTTTTTTGCCAGGGTGGATCAGCCCAAAATCGTCACTTGTCTTTTTGATCCATGGAATCCATTTCCCCAGAGATCCTAAGAGATACTCACTGCAATGGCGAAGAGGAAATGGCCGGTGCTTTCGGGGACTTCGAACAGGTGAGGAGGGACTATGACAAGGCTCGATCCTGAGCGTTGTGATGTTTCGATTTGCGATGGCAGCATCTACAAACCCGAAAAAGGTGATCAACTGTGCGGTGGTGCAGATATTGGACCGCCTCACTCAAGCCCTAAAATTCAATCTTCTCAATTCAGTGCGGGGTCTCAAGTAATATGGTCAAACATGCTATTTCAATCTATTTCACATGGTAATATATACTATAACTAGTATAACCATACATTTTTACCCAAGAAATCATGATTTCATGGGGCCGAACGGCTCAGGCGATGCAGGATGTTGAGGCGGTGCACAGCTCAGGGGTGGCGACATTTGATGAATAGAACATGGGAATATTTTATGTAACCATGGTGAAAATAGTGGTTAATATGGGTTAATAATAGTGATATCTCAGATAATAACCATCATACATATCTATAAAATTCTATAAATCAGAAATAATCATCATATTCATAGTGATACCTACTTGTAACCATGGTTAATATTGGCTAACATTGGTTAATAATGGTGATTAATGGATGACTAATGATGATTAAGGGAATATACCATCTGGTTATGACTAACATAGCGAACTGGAAAGATCCACCATGTTTAATAGGTAAACCGGTAAACCATCTAATTCTATGGGCCATGGCTTCCATGGCGAACTGTTAAATAACCAGAGGGTAAAATTTCAGGAATGGATGAATAGAAATGAACAGAATATAATGGAGTTATATCAACCACTAAATACTTGCAGCACATCTGACAGTTTTCAAGTACGAAACTTGAAGGAATTGACCATCATTTCCTGAAATGAATTGCTCCAGCCACATCTTCTCCCCTTTGCATTGAGAAATTGTCTGGGCAGAAGTTTATTTCGTAGGTTCATGGCTGAATTTTTGGCCTTAAAAATGGAGGAATTCTGTGCAAGTTGCATCGCCAACCCAGACAGAGGCCTGGAAGAGTTTCAAAGGTGAACAATCGCAGTGCCCTGGACATTGATCAAACTGGGGAACATGGAACATGGGGTATACCAATACAGCTCCAACATTGTGACATGATATGTTACATGCCATGAAAATTAATGAAAATTATCACCCGCGGTTAAATTGGGCCAAAACAAACAGACGCCAGGGGGTGATATCGGGGACATCACAGGTATTTTTGGCCCGGAAACTGGACATTTTTTGAGCTGAATCTTCAGGTCGTAGGTAAAAAAGGGAGATATGGTACGAAGCCGCAAGGAGGATATTCTCAACTGATCATTGGAGACTTTCCTGGATTCCTACTTGGGGATTTTTGTTTTTCGTCAGTGGCTAAGAACCATATGAAAGATCACTGTTATATATGGCTAACATATGGGTTATATTGGGTTATATATTATATATAGATGATAAGCCATGATAAGCCACTGACTGGCTGTGGCCCCTGTGGCCGCCACAAACTTTGCCCAGTTCGCGGCGGCGGCCAGCAGGTACGAGACATCCTTTTGGCTGTTGAAGGCCATCCATGACTCGGAGTGCAAGAAGTTGATGGAAGACCACCATTTGGTGCACGTCTCAGATGACGACTGACTGACGACTGACTTCCGGGCTTCGAGAAAGTCATGGCTACATGGCTACTCGCGGCTACGGCGGAATCGGAGTCCCCAGTCGTCACCATCATTGTATGGTTGTTACAAAAGTTGGTTGGTCATGACGACTGGATGATTTGGGATACCCCCATGACTTAGGAAACCTCCACATTATGATTATTATGATTTTATAACTATATATCACCAAGTGTATTATATATATACATATTCATCACTATCACCTCCTTTTTAGGAAAGCTTCAAGATGTTGGAACGAACCGTCTGTTGATGACGCGGTGATGATGGCCGGCTCTGAGACGGCCGAGTGGTTGTGACGGGACGCGAAGCGAGGGGTCGCGCCAACGAAGTCCCATGAAAATTCCATAACTCAAATTAAATCTCCACGTTAAGCATCATTAACAATCATTAACAATCATGAACCATCATTGAGCATCATGAACCATTATTAAACATCGTTAACCATCATTAACAATCATGAACCATCATTGAGCATCACGAGCCATCACTAAGCATCATGAACCATCATTGAGCATCATTAACCATCATGAATCATGAACCATTATTAAACATCGTTAACCATCATTAACAATCATGAACCATCATTGAGCATCACGAGCCATCACTAAGCATCATGAACCATCATTGAGCATCACGAGCCATCACTAAGCATCATGAACCATTATTAAGCATCATGAACCATCATTGAGCATCATTAACCATCATTAAGCATCATGAACCATTATTAAACATTGTTAACCATCATTAGCAATCATGAACCATCATTGAGCATCACGAGCCATCACTAAGCATCATGAACCATCATTGAGCATCATTAACAATCATTAAGCATCATGAACCATTATTAAGCATCATGAACCATTATTAAACATCGTTAACCATCAATAACAATCATGAACCATCATTGAGCATCATGAACCATCATTGAGCATCTTTCACCATCATTAAGCATCATGAACCATTATTAAGCATCATGAACCATTATTAAACATCGTTAACCATCATTAACAATCATGAACCATCATTGAGCATCACGAGCCATCACTAAGCATCATGAACCATCATTAAGCATCATTAACCATCATTAAGCATCATGAACCATTATTAAGTATCATGAACCATTATTAAACATCGTTAACCATCATTAACAATCATGAACCATCATTGAGCATCACGAGCCATCACTAAGCATCATGAACCATCATTGAGCATCATTAACCATCATTAAGCATCATGAACCACTATTAAGCATCATGAACCATTATTGAACATCGTTAACCATCATTAACAATCATGAACCATCATTGAGCATCACGAGCCATCATTAAGCATCATGAACCATCACTGAGCATCATAAACCATTATTAAGCATCATGAACCATTGTTAAGCATCATGAACCGTTGTTAAGCATCATGGAACTATCATTAAGCATCATGAACCGTTATTAAGCATCATTAACCATCATTAAGCATCATGAACCATTATTAAGCATCATGAACCATCATTGAGCATCATGAATCATCACTATGCATCATGAACCATTGTGAAGCATCATGGAACATTATTAAGCATCATGAACCGTTATTAAGCATCATGTGCCATGATTAAGCATCATGAACCATTATTAAACATCATGTACCATTATTAAGCATCATTAACCATCATTAAAACATCATGAACCATCATTGAGCATCATTAACATTATTAAGCATCATTAACCATCATTAAAACATCATGAACCATCATTGAGCATCATTAACCATCACTAAGCATCATGAACCATCACTAAGCATCATGGACCATTATTAAGCACCATGAACCATCATCAAGCATCATGAACCATTATTAAGCATCATGGACCATCATTAAGCATCATTAACCATTATTAAGCATCATGAACCATCATTAAGCATCATTAACCATTATTAAGTATCATTAACCACTTGATCGTCAAGATAAGGAGAACAAAACCAGCCCGCCCTGCCCTTACCTCGGCAGTGACCGCTTCCCGCACCGTTGGAGGTCGATGCAGATTGTCACAAAAACTGGGTCGCAGCTCGAGAAGAGCCGCCCTCTCAGTGTGGACCACAACCAGGGCGGATGTTCACCGCGACCAAAAAGGGGGGAAAAAAAACCGCGACGTTTCGGCAGAAGTTCTGAAACTATGATTGAACCGCCAAAAATTTAGTGATTTTTATTGAAATGAACAATGGAAATATGGGTATTAGTTGGTGGATTTACCACCAACTTTGGGAAGCCACTCGGGACGAAGCTTTTGAGGTACTTCGCACGAGTGTTGGTGCCGCAGTGTGTCAAGGGAGAGAGGGCAGCCTTTGAGTTTGCGGTGGGGCACTCAGCAGGATTAAAAATAATGAATTCATAGCATATAGCTCTCCAAAAGATCGACCATTTTTTTTCATGACTAATTTATATAGGATTTTACTTTTCGAGCTTTTATAGGGTGCTAGATATCTGGTCATTGATGTTTTTGGGCTCCAGGGCCTCCAAGCCCTGATGATTGGGTGATCAAATCAGTTTGAACACAGATGGGACGCCACCAAAAGACTCCGTTGGGATTTCTCATTGCCCAAACATGGAGGCCATGGAGGCCTAGATGATTTATTTTCAGCCGTGTTTGACACCGGTGCCGTGTTGACTTGTAGGCCCCCCCTGTGGCTATCTCGTGGGGCCTGCCCCAACGACAACGAGAGCTCAGAGGTTGGATTGCAGCAGAGTACGAACAAAAACGCAACGATATCACCAAATTCCTCTGTCGGTCTGAAAATGTTCAAATTTCAGAAACAATCAAAGGGTATGAAAATGCCAACTCCCAAGCTGTGTTCTGTGTACTTAGCATTTATGGCTATCGCAACTTTCTATTCGCCGTGTGGTCGGTGCAACATTCTGATGGACCCCCGCTGGCAAAACCTGTCAGGTGCCAGAGAGATGAGATGCTTCCTGTGACGCGGAGTTTCACCAGTTTCACCAGTTTCGCCAATGCCAAAAGTGTGTCATGTTGCTAGTTGATGTGGATGAAAATCTTGAGAATAGTGATAAATACCCCGATTCTTGCTGGTGATTATTGCAGTGATTATCCAGTGATTGTGATTTGGGTTTCATTTTGGCTTATGGTTATTGTATGTTATTGTTAATTATGGATTCATCCCGAAAAAAAGTGGCAAGGGATCGCGGATCCAAAACGAAAAACCGCAAGTCCTGGCTCAAAAACCTCGAAGTCTGGCCAAATCGGAAGGTGGTTGCCTCAGTAAAGCCATGTAAAGCCAGGTTTTGGGACTTCCAAATCAGCGCCGGGAGCCTCCCGGCGCAGTTCAGATCAGTTCCCTTCTTTTTTCTCCCGAAATTGGTTTCAATGTGGTTAAAACAATGTCATAAACCAGCCATGACTGGGAATGGTAACCATACCACCTATCTATGGTGAGGACTGGGGATGGTTTATGATGGTTTATTACTGTTTTAACATGTTTTAACCACATTGAAACCAATTTCTGGTTCCCATCATCTCCAGCCGAAGAAGTTCCCAGGGCCATGGGAACTTCGGGTTCCTGTTGCTCCTGTGAGGATGACGTGTTGGGAAGCCCAGGGGAGAAATGGATAGAAATGGTGACAAAAAACCACTTCAACAGGCTGAAAGAGGATGGTGACTTTTACGATTTATAGCTATTGAAAATGGCCACTGATAGTTCATATAGTTCATTCACCCACTAAAAATGGTGATTTTCAACAGCTATGTTAGTTTACCAGAGGGTATATGGTCTGGTTGGTTGTTTGGAACATGATTTTTATTTTCCCCAATAGTTGGGATGATGATCCAATCTGATGAGCATATTTTTTTTTTTGGGGGGGGGTAGGGTAGGTATACCACCAATTAGATACGATTTATACATGGTAAAAATGATGGGTTAACCATGTTTAACCAGCAAAATATCGCTGGACACTCGTGGTTTAACCATCAGTCCATCAGTCGGATAGAAATCCTATGGGAACCATGTCATGCCCGGATTTTGGTCATCAAACATGGCTGTGAATTCCTGTAATTATAACCTGGTTGGTGGTTTGGAACATGACTTTTATGACTTTCCATTCAGTTGGGAATAGTAACCCCAACTGACGAACTCCATGATTTTTCAGAGGGGTGGCGAAAAACCACCAACCAGTAACATATTATAAATGGAGTTTCGAATTGAAGCATCATCGAAGTTACTGGGTGTTTTTCCAAGCCATGGAAACCGGAGCCATTTTCGAAACAGGTGCCCGGTTGATTACTTCGGCGGGATACCACCAAAAAAGATCATGTACTAGCTTTTATGGAGGTTTCCTGAAATGGGGGTACCCCCAAATCATCCATTTTAGTGGGATTTTCCCTTATAACTTATAAACCATCCAGCTATTGGGTAGCCCATTGAAGGAAACTCCCATATCCATCCAGCTATGGCATATCCCAAAATGTCCCCATGTTGGCGAAATCTCTCATTTTGAGAGGTGATCCCAAGAATGGCCAAGATTGGAACCACAAAAAATACATCCACACATCATCACCCTTTGGAGGCGGTTATCCTCATATATATATATATAGAATATAATATATATAGCCCATTATATCCCAATCTATCCCCATTGCAGTTGAGGGCGCGCTGTCATTGACATTTGATGGCCGATTGGGGGGCAATCTCCCATTTTTTGACAACCCCAACATAGATATACATATACAATATACAATATATAATATGATAAATATAATATACAGTAATATAAAATAAAATAACATAATATAATATAATATAGTACAGTATAGTATAATATAATACTATAATATAAGAGATGTTATATAACATAATATAATATAATACAGTATATATATAAACAGTGCTGTATATTTCAGTCTCTTTCGTCTGTCTTTCTTCGTCGCAGGCAAGGGGACGACTCCAAGAGGCCGCAGACGACTCTCGGAACCAGTTTTGTTTTGAAGCCGTCGCCCCGTCGTCTGCCAGGCCTGGACGACAAGCCCGAAAAAGGTGGGGCGGTCGAGTCCTGGGGACCTGGGGATCGAGTCGGGATGAACTGTGTAAATTGTTCGCAAGCTCTGCACGAATCTTCGTTCTCCCAGATGTTTTTGAAGTCAAAATGGAACATTTTGTTGACAGCCCCATGTCAGCTGAGACTTCAGAAAATTTCTCACATCCGCATCGTCAGATCACCGACCGAGTTCACAATCATCATTGATAGAAGGCGGGGAACTTGACGGTGACAGCATAAGATGGCGCCACAAATAGCTGCTTGCTATTTGTAAGCCTGGGCTATTTACCAGTAATTAACGGCAAACTTCCGGGCAAAGCGACCTTGTCAACTTCTGGAGTTTGGGGTACACTGTGCACAGGCTGCTCAGACTGCTCAGACAATTTGGTTCATATCCCCTTTCTTTGATGCCGGATCCAGTTTTCTTGCGTTTTCTCCGAGACACACTATACAGACTATACACCTTCCTTGGTACAGATTTCAAGAAAGACTGTCCCAAGGTCATTGTGCGAATCATGGATCTAAGTCGGATTTGACCGACTTCACCACTAGGACTCTGTAAATCATTAGCAAAGGGAACTACCCCAAAATTACCCAAGATTTCAGGTGTTGGTGAATGATAATGAATTTCAGCAAAGTATATCCATTGAGTAACATTAAGAAATCTACCTAGAATAGCAACATGATGCAGCTATATATATATATATCTACATCTACATCTATATCTATATCTCTATCTATGTCTATATCCAAATATACAATTATGTACACACCATCACTCTACTATAAGAGATGATGCCTTTCTTCTTGCTGTATCCCTATCTGCACATGTCCACGACAGGAATAATGAAGGCCTTGGTGTAGATGCCGCACCTGAGAAGGCGCTTGGGCTGCGGGTATGGCGGGCAGCGGCGGTATGTCCAAGACTGGGAGGTGTAGCCCCAAAAATGGCCAAGTTGAATAGGACAGTCATGGGAAAATGATGGGAAATTCATGGGAAAATGATGGGAAATTCATGGGAATATGATGGGACAATCATGGGACATATGGGACAAATGTGGATTGTCCATTGATAGTGGTGGTTTTCCCAATGTTTTTGTCTTTTTGCCAGATGCTTTCCCATAAAAACCCTGCAAAAACTGGGGTAATTTGTGTTTGAACATATGGGACTGTCACAAAGAACACCGGCACAGTGACACGTGAGGTCGGCACGCTAGAGATCAAGAGCGTAACGCCTGGGGGTTTGGTGGACAGGCGGCGGCTTGAAAATTCATGCGGCGTTCGTGTCATGGTGGATGTCTTTTTTCAGGACAACTAAATGGAGACCACAAAAAATGATGGTTTTGAGATGGGATTTTAGCAAGAAGAAATGATTAAATAGTGAAAACCAGTTGTTTTCGAATGATGATAGGGACTCAGTCATGGATACAGTATCTCTTGTTTTCACCAACACCTTTTCTGTTTTCCCTTATGGATGGAATGGCAGTGACAACAGCGACGCTGATTGATTCAGCGGAGGCTCCTTCCAAGTGATAAAACATGCTATTTCAATGGTGCCCCGATGCTCAACAGCCTAGGGTTGATAAGATCCTAACATCCAGGTTGACATTATATATATATATACACATATGTTCATATTATGTCCCATATTATTCCCCCATATTATCCAGGTTGATATATGAATTATTCACCATATTATTTCAAGGGCATCATGGCTGGTTTGTTGCTTAAATCATCCGTTTTGATTGAACCGTCTTGCCAGTTTTGCCAAGTTGGAAAAAGAACTCCACTGACAGGGACTAGGGTTTATGGTGGATATGTTTTAGTGGGGTTTACAAGTAAACCAACAAACGCAACTGGGAGGCACCACCTTGTATCATTACTGTTATAGTTATGATGCTGATTATTATTTTTTTACATATGTCAATACTGACTGCCAGTATCAACATATGTAACCAATATACCATAAATTCAAATTCCAATAATTTTACCACACATTTGACAAATATGTAGTTTCTATTGTTTTCATTTGGATGATTCCCATCCGGATGGATATGAAAGCATCGTTTTTTTTGTTATTTGTATCGCTTGATGGATATGACACCTTTAGACATCCATTACAATCGCATGCTAGGCAAGCTACATGTGTATATATATATACACACCATGAATCTATGACTGCTATACTCCCATATAAAAAAGTCACCGTATCCATCGATAGTTATTCAATTGAATTCATGTTCTTGGTGAATCCCAGTCATTGGATTCCTACTGAGTTATACCTGTTTATCCCTTTTAAGTGTTGTTATAACACCGTTGTTTTTATCACACTCACATGACTCACATGCCAATATGTTGATAAAATTCAGTCCCATGACATCTATATATCCCATGACATCTATATTAATCCCATTAATCTGTTATAGTCATGATCATCATCATGATCAGCATCATTATTTTTATGGTTAATATTATGATGATTACAATTATTGATATCCCATTAGCGCCCCAACCTAATTTTAGATTTCTTTGTTGTGGATTTGTCCCATCTTTATGTGGATAAATCATCACAAACAGTTGATAGCCACGTATTATGATTACTATCCATAGTTGATCAAAAGTGGAACGACGATAATATATTGGTCCCCCAATCCAGTTTTGAGATTCCAGTAGTCCTCAGCCGTTAGCGATACAATTTATAGTAGTTACAATTAGCATTTACCACTTTTCACTATAACATCCATCTTTAGTTGCTTTAGTTGCTACCATCATTTATTCCTGTTATTCCAAATACCCATCATCAATTAAATATTAATACGCTAACCCCAGATGATGATTATTACTGTTTTGAAATCATAACCTTCTTGAAGTAATAAGCAACCATCACTATTCATTTTTCATAACCATCAATAAGTATTAGTATGAATAGCAATCATTAAAAGCCATCATTAGCTATTACTAGGTAAATCATCTATAGATGGCCATTTTCCGTAGCTATGTTAAATGACCAGAGGGTAAGCACCATTTAAAAACCATTTGGGCAGTAATCAAAACCACTGTTTTAGGTGATTACTATAGGGAGCTACTATACTGTGGTGATAAATGATATAAATGAACCTATAGATCCCTATAGTAATCAACTATATTACTGATTATTTTACTACCACTTTTGGGGATTAGCTAGTAATCCATGAACCGCAACACCTTACTGAGTCAACTTAGCTGACTCGCACACCACTAGGGTCTCACCTCCTAGCATCAGAATGACGTCAATGACCATCGGGCTGACGTCATCATTACGACCTTCATTGAGGTTATTACTATAGTATTAGATGATTATTACCCAGAATACTTATTATTTATTAAGGTTATTACTAAAGCATCATTTTTCAGAACTATCATTTATTGTGAATCTTAAAGTTGCTAATAGATGCTAATAGATGAACAATAGATTATAGTGAAGAGACCCAGAATGAGTAGATTATTATTACCCATAGCTGATGGTTATTGCCCACATTAGATGATGGTTATTTCCATAGCACTTACTGTAAATAGATGTGAAACATCCACCAATTGTAGATGTTTTTTCAACCGGAAACTCCGGAAACCAGAGGTTTTCCGGTCGGTTTTCCACATCCTTTTCTATGTTTACCCATCCGGGTACCATCTGATTTCCAGATCCAGGTGGAACCAGGCTCAACAGCAGGGCTCACGAGAAATCGTGCGGCCCGGCATGCGTGTGGTGGAGGCTTCTCCAAAGCGCGGTGGTGAAAAGCAGCAAAAAGACGATTCATGTGGTGTACTGTAACAATGTTCTTATGTGGCTAAACAATGTTGGATTTTCTTGTGTGGTTAAACAATATTGGAAATGATGGTTTCAGCATTGATTTAGTCAATTAACAAAAATTCAATGAGTGGGAGTTGATAGATGTACTTATACTTTTCCCACAACACACAACTATTACCCTCTGGTAAACGTTTGCATAACTATGGAAAATCACCATTTTTCATGGGAAAACTCACTATTCCAATGGCCATGTTCAATCGCAAACTGTTAGTGTACCAGAAAGTATATTCCCCAAATCCATCCAAATCCCATATCATCACCCTGAAATTCCCATAAAACCCCCAAGGAATCCCCAAAAAATGGATGGTTCATGGTGGTGAATGGATGTTAATGATAGTTCCCAATGGTGGTACCAAACCTAAAACCTCTGTGAAACCATATCAAGCCACAGTAAATGCCATATCATCATTTATCATCAGATTATAATCACCATAATTTCCCATAATTTCCCATAAAACCAGTGGATTTTCCCCAGAAATTCCCATAAAACCAGTGGATTTTCCCCATATTTTCCCATAAAACCAGTGGATTTTCTCCATAATTTCCCATAAAACCAGTGGATTTTCCCCATAGTTTCCCATAAAACCAGTGGATTTTCCCCATATTTTCCCATAAAACCAGTGGATTTTCCCCATATTTTCCCATAAAACCAGTGGATTTTCCCCATAATTTCCCATAAAACCAGTGGATTTTCCCCATATTTTCCCATAGAACCAGTGGATTTTCCCCATATTTTCCCATAAAACCAGTGGATTTTCCCCATAATTTCCCATAAAACCAGTGGATTTTTTCCCATAAAACCAGTGGATTTTCCCCATATTTTCCCATAAAACCAGTGGATTTTCCCCATATTTTCCCATAAAACCAGTGGATTTTCCCCATATTTTCCCATAAAACCAGTGGATTTTCCCCATATTTTCCCATAAAACCAGTGGATTTTCCCCATAATTTCCCATAAAACCAGTGGATTTTCCCCATATTTTCCCATAGAACCAGTGGATTTTCCCCATATTTTCCCATAAAACCAGTGGATTTTCCCCATAATTTCCCATAAAACCAGTGGATTTTCCCCATATTTTCCCATAAAACCAGTGGATTTTCCCCATAATTTCCCATAAAACCACTAAAAACACATAGGATTTTCCCATGGACATCCGCGGATGCCGAGAGGTCAATGGCCGCTTTAATAGTGCGGTTGGCCTCATCGCAGCCTGTCGGGAAGCTGAGGTGCGTGGGTTCACGGAAGCCACAACGGTGCAACGCCGGTGGTTGGGGTGAAAAACGGGGACAGATTGAGATTCCATTAATATCCATTGATTAATTCTAATATATATATATATATACATACATATAATGTATATATACATACATATAATGTATATATATATACATATGATATACTATATGTACATATATTATATATGTATGCATCCATTGATGATAGCCTTCGGTAATCCTGGTAATCAAACATGGCGTGCTGGAAAGTCTCTGATTTGCCCAGCCAGCCATGTTTGATATCCATTCCTGAGATCCCCCGTTTGAAACCTTAAACGGTTTTTTGTGCGGTGATACTAAGCTTCAGCATGGCCCTTTGGTTTGCCCTGTGGTTTGTTCGTATTTTGTGGCTTCAACATGGCATTTTTTCCATGAGCATAAGGGGATTCCACCATCAAAACATGAGGCTCTTTCAAGAGCACCTTTTTACCTGGGTCCACTCTGTCTTCCCTTCAGCCACACGTCGAATGGTAAACAACGCTCATTTTGAATGCTGGAATTAGGGGTGTGTGTGTGTGTGTTTTTTTCCAAAAGTCTTCATGAATTTCCATCCTTTTTCCGCTTGGACTCCAGGTGCTTCACATTTCGATTGAGCCCTGACGGTGCCAGTTCGGTCTCACCCGAAGACCCTGGTGTTCCCGCTGGGCAAAAGGTGTTTCTTCGACACCGACACAGCTCCAGTGAGGCGCCATGCTTAATGCACATTGCTGACATCCGCGGGTTTTGTGATTTCTTTTATTTCAGAGATCTGAACATAGATATCATAGATGAACATAGCTATTTGGGGTTCGTCCTCCATTTTGGGTCATTCCCATGTTGTTTTTGTTGCCAAGTATCTCATTCAAAGGCTGTTTGACCTTGACTGAAGAGTCAGGGATGTCTAGCAATTGCTGCTTCAAAGAAAGCAGCCACATCTCATGGAGTTTCATCACAAGCGATCTATAGCGGAAATCACCCAAGCTTCGCCAGAAATCTAGGAGTGCTTGGCGCCTGGTGCTTGGCGCCGTGAATCGTGGCGTATGAATCTTGTGGTCCACTGAGGATTTCCCAATTTCTTCCGGATGCAGGTGTGCAGGATGAGGGGGTTCTAAGCATTCTGACTTGTACTGGGTCTTTTTCAGTTGGTTTCATTTATTCATATTTATTCTGTGAAAGATTCATGTAGCCATCATAGACTCATAGACATCATTCGCGTAAAAGATCATCCAACTGATCCTCCTTGATCCCTTGAAGAAATGATTTCATCCAACTCTCATTGATCTTGGCATATCTTGGCTCGCAGCTCGCAGCCCGCCCTGATCAAAGGGTGGCTCCGCGCGAGGAACTCGCCACGCGCGCAACGAAGATTTTCGGCCATGGCGTGACTCGGTCGTGTTGGTGAGATGTTGGTGGAAAAACTCACTGGTGAGTTTTTGAGATTCCAAGGTGGTGCCGACAAGTCGGGTGAAGATGCTAAGAAATGTGATCTCGAACTCGTCGACGGCGGTTTCTAACCAACGATTTCACACGGGAAACCACCTTGTAGGGCTCAAAAGCATAGTAGTAGTGAATAGAGAAGGCTACGTTTTATGTGTCTGCCACTCTTGCGGGGTCAGTGGGCATTCAGGGTACGTCACCAGTATAGTTGTTCTCTCTCATGTTTGTTGGTTCTATTCACATTCTTGTGCGCGATTTTTTTTCAAAACGTGTATCATCTCTGGGGAAATCCCAATGATGCCAGACGACTATGGGTCATGCTTGTCATGTTTGTCCAAATCCCATGGTTTATCAATAATTGTTTATAATTGTTTACCATTGTTTACCATCATATCTATCATTTTCCCCCAGTTGGCCTGCTTTTATTTTCAGATACAAAGGATCCGTCCAAGGCCGAAGCTGTTCCATGTCCTTTTCGCGCTGCTGGTGCTAGTGGATGGTCTTGGGCACAAAAGGTGCCGATCCATGATGCCATGGCAGGGGATAGATCAACCGCTCGGCTTTCCAGTGCTGAACAACTTTTTTTGCCGAACATGTCCATGTCAATTTTGTCAATCTGTTTCCCCGAGAGGAAACAGCGAGGAAATATATTGAAATATATCAAATGACCTACAAAAGCAACTAATTGAGCTGCAGGGATGGTGCAGGGATGGTTTCAGATGGCAGGCTGGAGCCCAACGCCTTGGTGGACTCCGAGGAGGCCATCGCGGATCAGTTGGTGAAGGAAGCGGAGGTGCGGAAAGTCGGAGATCCCGTTCTGGGTCATAAAACAAGGGATCTTTTCTGGGTAAACTTCATTTTGTTCTCAAAATGCACTGCAAAAGGGATGAAGAGTTGAAGATTATGAAGATCGAATCTGACATTTCATGACACTGACATCATTTTGATGGCCATTTTGGATGGTCAAACTGTCACCATTTGATGCGTTGTGTTTGAAAACACTGAGGCCAATGTGGAGCGTGAGTCCCCCGCTCCGAAGGAGCTTTTTTTAGCGTCCACTGTTTCTTGAAACATGAATGTGTTACTTCCAGTAAACTCACATCGCTATGGAAATCGATGTTTAGAGTGGTATGATATGGTATGATCCCCTATGCCTATATTCATGATGGCTGTTCCATTCTGAAGGCTGTTGGATCACAACGGGTTCTGAGTTTCACCTGTTATTCCTGCAGCATGGCAGGAGTCCAACAGCACCAAGAAGGTGCCAGTGACGCCCAAGAAAGTGCCGGTCGAGGTTAACGTGTCGAAAGAGGTTACGGAAAGCTCCACGCCTTCCAAGAAAGAAGCCAAGGAGGACCAGGGATGAGGTGGCAGGGTGGGCCCCCCCAAACAGTGTGGGGTGGGTGGGAGGATAATGTATGATAATGTTGATGATCATGTTGATGATGTTGATGATGATGCTGATGATGATGATGATGATGAGGAAGAGAATGTTGCGGACGATGATGTTGGGGAGTTGGGGATGATGATGTTGAGGATGATGAGGTGCAGGAGGATGAGGTGGAGGATGATGATGTTGAGGAGGATGAGGATGAGGATGATAATGCGGAAAATGATGTTGAGGAGGATGATGAAAAGGATGATAATGTTGCGGAAGATGAGGTGGACGATGATGATGATGATGATGATGATGATGATGATGATGACGACGATGTGATGATGTTACGGAAGATCAGGTGGAGGATGATGATGTTGAGGATGATGATGTCAAGGAGGAGGAAGACAATGATGTTGAGAATGATGATGTTGAGGAGGAGGAAGATGATGATGTTGAGGAGGAGGAGGACCGATCCCAAGACCACGACCCACACTTTGTGCGAGCTTGCGCAGTCGACATGCACTTGGACATTTCAGAAGAGCCACTTTGTGCGAGAATTTGCAGGGAAAATGCCGGGGCCCAGACCTGCGCCGCACGTTTAGTGCGAGCCTCCGCAGTCGAAATGCACTTCAACATTTCACAAAAGCCACTTTACAGTACCACTTTACACGGAAATTTACAGGTAAAAGGCTGCAGACCAAGAGCAAACAAAATTCGCGCCGTAAACTTTATGCGAGCCTGCGCAGTCGAAATGCACTTGGAGATTTGACAAGAGCCACTTTATGCGGAAATTTAGAGGAAAAATGCCGGGGTTCAGATGGAGCACTCTGAGGAAGCACTGGCCTTTACACTTACCGTAGTAACCCCTCAGTGTGGACACACTGTTTGCGGAATATATCTAAGGGATCACAAAAATCTTGAATGGATCAACAACCAGTGTTTAAAAGTTTAAGGAATCAAACAAAAGAATGGTAGATTCCGGTCCTCTGATCCCTTGGCCAACCTTTGGTCCTTCGTCCTCTGGCAACAATGTTGAAGCCCCAACCCCCTTTCCAGCAACGTTTGAAGGTCAACCCCTGCGCCACCACTAGCAACACACCAAAATCGCAAGAACATCATCAAAAACAATAAGAAACAACAGACAAAGCATGCAACTGACAGTGTTTTCCAGGTCAAATTCCAACGAGCTGCAAAAACTCCACGTGCCAGAGGTCCCACTTCCAAAACGCAGCAAATGCCACAGACATGTCGAATTTTGAGATATTTTGTTCATGCCTCAGGTTTTTTTTGATCCCTCCGAGGCACTTTTCTCCAAGCGGTTTTGGAGGAATTTTGGAGTCCAAAATGTCGATTTTTGAGGGTCAAGATTCAGCTGTTGCGATTGGTTTGACTGGAAAAAAAACATGTATTAATTTGGGGTTAACGGGAGGATTGTTGAATCATATGGTAAGCCCAACTATGACTATGAATCATCCTCGAATTTACGAGAAAAGAACTAGTACAAACCATCCAAATTAAATGGTAGGTTTATTATTGGGTTTAGCTCATTATTTGGGTATGGCCGGTGGATCAAAAAATCTCCGGACCCCTCACCGAGATTAGGGTTTCAGCTCATTTGACCCGTTGAAGTGTTGGCAATTTACATCCACATTATTTCTCAAACCTTAAGTTTCTCCTAGATATCCTAGTGAGGGTTGCTTAATGTTATTTATTTTTCTTATAGTGGAATTTCATTCAAAAAACCCAACTTAAGTCTTGACCCCCCCAAAAAAACGTCGTTGAACTGCCAGTTTTTAAGGATTATTTCACTGGGTCCCAGGGGCCAGTTTCATCCGGGAGGACGGAGACGAGGATCTTGAAAAGGAGGTGATGGGTCGAGCTTGGAAAGATGGGTTTTACAGCTGTAAAACCGCATGATCTTTTCGCGTGTTTTCCATGGGTTTTCCTGGGACATGGATGATTTTTTGATATTTTTTGCACTATGAACCAGTGGATTTCGTGGTAAATATGTGCCCTGATGATCCGATAGATCCTGGACATGGAAAATGAGACGGGAAATGCCAACAAGACGAAGGAGCGTCCCGGTGGTGGGGGGTTACGGATCGCTGAAAAAATGGGTGGGACTTGTTCTGCCCTGGTTTGTTGTCTCAGGAACTGATGGGACAGCAAAAAATCCTCAGAAACTGAGCTGGATTTGGTTTCTAGGTTTCAATTGATCTAATAAAGTGATCTAGGGTATGAAATTTTGAGGGGGGAAAGGGGGGTACCCTCTTGAGATATTTTGAGACTCAGGTAAAACTACAGTATTTCCTTCGCAAACTGAAACAACTTACACCTCCTTGAGTCCTGTTCCGCTTGAAGTCCTTAGTTGAAGGCGTTGGGCCACGTGCGTTTCAGGAGGTGCGATCTGGCTGCAAAGCAGCCAGCATTTCAGTCCTGGCTGCAGTGGTTCTGAGTGCCACATTGGGCTGAAGCGAGCCGCCCTGCCGGAAGAAAGTCTGGTCCGAATTTGAACTTTGCAGGAACCAACATGCATTTTTCCTATTTTTTCCTAAGGATTTTGAGAATGGGGTCCCCTCATGGGGTGAAACCAAAGGAGTCACTGTGCTTGGTGCGTTGCCAGTGGGATATAGCGGGATGAGTCTGAGAACGGGATATTTTTGTTGGACCAACCCGCTGTTTTCGCGTCAGTTTGAGCATGTTTTTTCAGCTACATGGCAAAGTCAAACCGATCACAGAGGCAGCGGGCCAAAGTCACTGGGTGAAATTATGAACATTTGATGTTTGAAACACATTGGAACCATGGTTTTCAGAGCAAAACAAAGGTTGGGTAAAGCCATGGGTGCCCCATCACCTCCAAAAAGGCGTCGAAGATATCGAAGTCTTTCCGCCATGGCGGGCGTTCGACGTGGCGTGGCACTCTATGCGACTTGGTTCTCCTCATGGCAGCTCTTGTAGCGATGGTTTTCCATGGAATACCAAAATGGGTCCTTCAAAGAATGAATTTCCATCGTTTCCTTTGTATTTTTACTGCAAGTGCGAAGAAAGAATCAGGATGTATCACTATATAATAATTATAATACTATATAGATATACCATATATATATATAGATACCATATATATATATATTATATATATATATATATACACCATATGATATGTATCTTCCATGGGTCCTTCAAGATGCTATTGGCATCAAATCTAGGACATCGATAGTTTGGAGATGGTGATCTCCGGATTCACCACATCGGATGGTTATAACAGATGTAGGTAGACATAGGTAGACTACGACTTAAGGAAGACACTGGATACTGGGTTTCTATCCATTATAGTTGGAATAATCCCAACATTCATTCTATATCATCCTATATCCATTATCTAAACCTATGCTATCCAAGTTTCTCCTCATTGCATCAGATTGCACCATATAATTTTCGTCGTTCCTTCAGCGTAAAAATGACAGAGCTGGTACCATGGAGTACCCAGAAATGGTCGTTTCAGTAGGGAAAATGATGATGAGCAAATTTCGGGGTACCCATGATCCCATCCCATTGAAACATATTGAACCGAAGCGCGCAAGGGATGTTTTTGAAACGAAGTGGCAAGCAGAAGTAGAACTAACTATCCGAGAAATGAGATGAAGAACAGATTTTGGGTACTGGTATGAGTTTCCTCTAGGATTTCAGGGGGGTTAACCCCCCAGGGCGGAGGCTTGATTTTTGGTGAATTCGTACAGGGATGATTTTGGTTTAAGATGTTTTTTGGACAACACCGTAGTGACAGTCGACATTCTGCTTCAAGTCACTGTAGCTAACCGCCGTTCGCGGCCGCAGTGAAGTTGCACGTTCCTTTGTTGCCACATCTGTTGCCACCCTGGGAGATGGATCTGTTTTTGGATACGGCGATCTGGAAAATGGACGCATTTGAAGCAAATTCGGGCTCTGATGAGCGGTGTCATTGATGCGATTATGTCAGATGGATCGCTGCCGACATGGTGGTGGAAGCGTCACCCAAGATCAGTTTAGGAATGTGCAGCAGGCCACCTCGCCACCCTGCCCATGCTGCGATTTGTGACGGATCTATTGCTGCAGCTGTTTCGCCCTGCGGGCGCCTAACCCTCCAGGGGCCAGCGGTGGAGAATGGTGCTACATTGAGCGGCGAGCGGGTTGTGCTGCTTGGCAAGTGCTTTGTTGCGTAGCTGGTGCATGTGGCAGCTGGGAAGTGGGCTGAGCGAAAAGGCGTGGGGATTCTGCGGTGCGCGCTGCTCCTTTGCCTTTCCTGTGTGAGTGACCATGGGCAAATAGGTTTTTGTTGTCTTGGCGCGAGAATGGCTGTTGTAACGCACGCTGACCAAGAACAATCCGGTGTTGGATGGCTTTTGCTTTTGCTGGCAGTGGCCGATTTGGAAGCCCTTGGAAATGAGCGCATGCTGCCAAAGCAAAGGTGCAAACAGTGCGGGAGTATGTGGCCAAGCTTGGCAAACGATCGCCCAGACAATGGCAAAAAGGTTGTTTGTCAGGTGTCCAGTGCCTTCCAGTTTGAGTGACTGTCACCAATTGCAATGGTGACGTTCTCAATGCAAGAAACTTCTGCTAAAACTAACGTTTCGCCAGTTTGTCTAAGATTTCAAATGGGCCCAAAAATGATCTGTTTTCCATTTTTTTGTTTGCAATTTCTTCAGTTTTTATTGCTCACATCCTGCCCAAATCCCTGATTACTTTTGGTCCATTTCTGTTGGTCGAATCCCCAAGTGTTCTTGCTTAAACATTTGTTTTGGTTGCTAAGACCCTTATGTTGTTGTTGGTTACGGTTAAACCAACAGTTAAACCCCAATTCAGTGTTGCATCAACCCACAATTCATCATTCTGCTGGGTGAAATCTCCATGTTTAATGGTTAAATCCACCATCTTGCGCCACTTTCGCTGTCGAGGCTTGCCTTGTCATGGCCACCTGCGTTTGGCCAAAACGCGCCTGGCTTTCGCCCGTGAAGCGTCGCGCAGTCGTGGCCGGCTGGGTGGCCACCAGCCTGGGCGAAACGCGGCCGGCGGCGGCCGGCGAAGGCCATGGGGTGGAAACAGCTGCGTCTTGGGGCAAAAAAGTAATCTTATGGCGATATAATGGCAATATAATGGCAATATAATGGCGAAATCATGGATTATAATATCTTATAATATCTGGTTGGTGGTTTGGAACGTGGCTTTTATTTTCCGTTTCATACTAGTATATGGGATGTCATCCTTCCCATTGACGAACTCCATCATTTTTCAAGATGGGCACATTGCACCACCAACCATGGGGATGAAATGGACGCTCCAGAACTGCCAGATTCATAGGGAAAAAAGGTGATGTGTCATGGTGGTTTTACTCTCTGGTTATGTCAAAATAGCTATTGAAAATGACCATTTATAGTGGATTTACCCATTGAAAATTGTGATTTTCCATAGTTATGTTAGTTTACCAGAGGGGACCCAGTAAGAAGTTGGGGAGAATCCCATGCCCCTCGTTTTTTGAAGAAGCACACTTTGGCATGGAGAAGCTCACAAAAGAATACTACGATTTGTCCATGTTGATTTACTGGAGGCTACCCATTTCAGAGTTGCAACCAACACCCCAGGTACAACGCGGGTAAAACTCTGAAAAATAGAGGACAGAATAGGAAAGATAATGGTCAAAATGCACATGTCTTCCCTGGGACGGCTTTTTTTCCGACATCCTATGGATCCAAGTGCCTTCTCAGGAAGTTTTGGGCTATGATTTGGGGGGTTTTTCAGCATCTTCTCAGAAAGTATTCCGGTCCATAGGGATTTACATGGATTTACAATCCCTATGGACCGCTGAATAATAGCTTCCACCCAATCAAAACCCCGGCTTAGCATTGGAATCTAGCTGAGGAGTGGCGCTTTTGGCCAGCATGGGTTGCGACTTCGTTTTGCTGGGATTTCCCCCATCATAAGTGTTGAAATGAATTGTTCATAGAATTTTCCGAGAATTCGAGGATCGTTTTCATGATCTAACATGATCTAACCAAACAAAGCAATAAGGGATTGGTTTGTTTCCCCATCGCAAAAATCACCATAACCATGTCACAAAAAATCCCCATGGTGATCCCGTGAACCTTCTATTTTGGATCAGCATCCAAAATAGTCATGTTATGATTCACGATGAAAATATCAACTTAAGTTGCTAAAATTAAGAATGTTCGTGAACACATTGTTGCCTGGTATGATTTTTATATACGTATATATAATTATACATATAATATACTGTATATTATATATATACATCATATATAATATATAGATATAATATACTGTATATACATTTATAGATATCCACTGAACTTCCCCATGCCGAGGCGATGGCAAGCGTCGCAACCTGGACGCCAGCGAGCTGGCGAAGATCGTGAAAAACGACCTGGTCCAGCGGCAGTTCCTGGCCACCGCGGACTTTACACCGGACGCTACGACGGGGCGCCCGGGTGGGAAAAAACCCAAAAATCCACCGAAAAATGGAAGTGTTAATGTACCCATGGGAAAACCATTGGAAAAAGCCATATATAATGGGAGTGTGAAAATGTCCAATGGGAGTGTCTGAATTTTTTTTGGGATAATGATCCACCAAATAATGGGAGTTTAATAGGGATAATGGGTATCTGAAAATAGTGTACCCCTAAACCCAATGGTTTTGCTCATCATTATCCCTATGAAATGGCTATAATTGGGAATATACCCTATTTTCAGACAAACCCAAATGGGAGATGTTCCGATTTTCCATGGGGAAATGGTCCAAAAATATGGACATTTTTGGTGAATGGAGAGTTTTTCCAGGGATTTTCTGGAGAACCATTGCTAGTTGGTGATATCCCCATGAAATATCACCTATAACTAATGAACATTGGGGTATAAACATGATATCTAACTGGGATATAGGGGAAATATAGGACATTTACAATGCATGGGAACCAGCAAAATCCCAATGTCTCATGGTTTAATCACCATTTTCCACCATTTTTGATGATAATGTAGGTAAAAAACAATGCCATACATTTTCATAAAGTAGTACAATATGTAATAACTATAAAGTTGGTATATACAAAGTATCTAGAAAGTAGTAACTATATATGTGATAACTATACTAAGTATAGTATATGGTTTTCCTAATGGTTTCCCATCATTATTACAGTTAATGTGGGTAAAACAATGCCGTTTGCACCATCCCCCCGTCATCACCGTTTTTATAGGTGGTATATATAAACCATTCCCAGTCATGGCTGGTTTATGACATTGTTTTACCCACATTATAACCCCACTTTCTAACAAGTTATTACCTTCCGGTAAACTAACTTAGCTAGCTAGATCAACTATAAATGTGCAATTTTCCATAGATATGTTCAATTACCAGAGAGTATTCATGGGAGATGAATGGGGGTGAAAACTGAGTTGAGTAGTCCAATTTTTGATGCTTATGACATGAATCCTAGACTTAAATCATGAACTACTGGTAAATCTGTTCAAGCAATGCATTTTGAAGCATAGCATAGCCATTTATTTGGATTATCATGGGATATTCATGGGATTTATTGGGATTTATATAATGAAATTGAACAATCAACAGCGGGGATAATGGGATGATGGTTCTGGGTAAACTATAACGCCCTCGCATCGCGACCTCACTGGAATGATGGTGAATGTATAAGGGAATTATCCCAATATAGCTTCACGATTAAGCGCATGATTGCAATTTAGATTGTTTGACTCCTGGGTTTTGTATCTTGGTATTCAAATGATGGTGAAGACTGGACAAAGCATCCTAAATTGGCTTTCTTCTCTGGTTTGAGGATATATTCTAATGGTTGGTGTAATGGAGACAATGGTGGCATGGTGGCTGTTTTCATGCCTTGGCTTACTGGTACTTGGGCTTGGCGAAATGTCAAGTCTTGGTCATTTTTTTGGTCCTAACATGTCCTAACATCCTCCATAACTTCATAACGTGACGGATGATCCCCTGTCGGTTTTGCCCTGAAGGATATTTATGATGAGAGCTGTACTTTCACAGATGAGATCGACACGTACCAAAAGGACAAGTTCATCAAAGGCACCAAGGCCCTCTTCGTGGGCTCCGAATCGCAAGTTGAACTCCTGGGCGATGTAGATGTGCTGGAGAATGGGAAGAAACTGCAGTTTCGATTTCAAGAGACCCTAGCGTTCCAGGCTCAGTGCATCGAAGCGAAAATGGATCAGAAATTGATCAGAATCGCAGAATGCACCCAATTATACTGTCCTATAAAGATGGAGCATTCCCATCTGATGGCCCACTTCTCCCTCTCAAATCGGGCTCCAGTTTCCGCGTTCACAAAAGCTCCCCCATCTCCGGACCCCCCAAAAAAACCGGTAGATCTCATGGCATCCAAAAAATATCAAACATGGCTAGATCTGCTCCGAGGTTCAACTTCCCGGTGGTGCATCCAAAGGTCAGTCTGTCCGGGACCTGCACATTGACTCGTGGAGAGGATGGCTTAATCGTCCCCTGGATGCTGGTGACATGGTGATTTTAAGCAGAAATGCTGGGACGCAAAGATGGTAAAAGCACCATTTTACGATGATAAATGGTGATAAAACACGACATAGATGGTTTTAACATGTTTTAAATGGTGAGAAATAGACTTAACCGATGAATGAAACATGAAAACCCACAAAAAGAATCGATGTCCATTCCCCTTAGATGGACCGTAGATGAAACATGATGAAATACGATGAAACCATCAATGTTTCGGGACATCCGATCACCCCGAGTTGACCAGAGTCGTTTGGATTATCAATTGTGGATATAAATTGACATTGCAGATATATGACCAGTAATCATCAATTATCCAATATGAAAATGTAGTTAGCTGGTATTTTGAGATATGACATATTCATATCATTATCATATATTAATTTCTCCATGTTTGGAGCTACCCAATGACTTGACCCATGCCAATATTTTGTGGCTTCACAGATACCAACAGTGGATAGTCAACGTCATGCGTGGATTTTGGGGCTGATGTTTGCCCATGAAGATAGCTGAGTCGAAGCGGAATTGGTCAAAATATGGTCAACGTTTCAGGTCTAGGGGAAGATTCAGCATCCAATTTTAGGGGCATCTAAGTTTGGAGCCATACCCGATTCTCCAACCTTTTCCTATTGATTCAAAGAGAGCAGTTCGATCTAGGGATATTCATATTCCCTCAATGGGGAGCGATTCAGAGCAACTTTTTCCATTAACATTCCATGATGGAAAAACTTGCACCAACCTTTTCCATCAACTACCGCAGCTCCAAATCTCAACTTGGTGCGTCTGTCCGCCAACAAGTCATCGGGAACATCATGAACATTATTCTTATGACAATCATTGGATTCAGGGAAAATCGAAACCGGACACCTTTTTTTTGGTGGTAAAAAAAAACATGTGTTCCACGCCAATCCAGTAAGCTAAACATAGATAAACCATTGATAAAGCTATAACCATCCAGTTCTCTAGGGCTTTTCCAACATTTCCCTTCTGAGGTGGCGTACAAGGAGAAATGGGACCAATCTGTGCCCGAGGTATTGGCCACAACCAAATTCTAGCGAATGGCTTCGAAGAAAAAGGAAGATATTCGAATGTATAATATCAAATTATATGTGCACAATATATATTAATATAATATAATATAATATAATATAATTCAATATATATATAAT